TCTATAAGCCAGCCATACTGTAGCTCTGCATTTTATATGAAGTAAGAGCCAAGCAGCTCTTACTACATTTAAAATGCAGAGATGCAGCAATTCTGGACTGGTCAATCCTGGTTCGAGACAGCTTCGGGAGTTATTCCTGCTATAGCTCTGCAAAGTGGCCCTCTTATCAACTAATCATGCAGTCAATACAAATTGTATTGACTACACAATTAGCCAAATAATAGCTCTTTAACATCCTTAGCACCGACAGACTTCCTGAGCCTTCTCACAATTTCTTCTATGTGCCCAACAGATAAGTGATACCATAACTCACTGGGAAAGAATCATAGGACGTCTCAGCTTTTTACAACACAAAGAACCACAAGATATAGCAGTAGCAGGCAACCTGAGGCCTACATGCGGCCCACTGGGACTCCCACCTGCAGCCAAGGGACCCTGTGTGCCTCCCTCCCACACGTGCCTCTCATGCACTGGGGCTCTGGAGACCTGAATTTCCTACTCCTCGCCCTCCCTCCCAGCACTTCACCATAAATACTGGTGAAGAGCTGGAACGCTGCAACTCAGCTGTTTGTGGCTGTTCAAGCTCTAGAAGGGAGAGGGAGGAGCAGGAGCGGAGCGGGAATCAGGTGATTCATGGCACTTCACAAATGATGGGAGGAAGGGGGAGGAACAGGAAGTGCCCCATTGTGCAAGAGGCACATGGGGAGGGGCAGAGTTGGTGGATTTCAGGATGGGTGGGTGGAGGGTCATGCATCTTGATAATCAGGGCTCTGTTCATTCGTGGCGTGCGCATGCGCATTGCAGCTCTTGTGCATGCGCAGTACGGGGCTGGCAAGCGGTTTTCGCCACCATTTGTCAAGCCCTGTTAATAATTATCCCTTGTTTAAGCATTTTTTCTTTGTAACAATTTAAAATTATATATATATATATATATATGAAAACCACAGACAGACAGCCAGAAATATCCCTTGTTTAAGCATTTTTTCTTTGTAACAATTTAAAATTATATATATATATATATATATGAAAACCACAGGCAGCCAGCCAGAAAGATAGCTATTCATGTTTCAAAATAAACTATTATCAACCCATGAAGATATTTGCTGTACATACCATTCCTACCATCTCCAGATGTAAATGCGTTCAAGTAGTATTCCTGTGAAAAAAGGCCAATTTAAGATGAAGCTGTAGATGGCACTATAGTCTTATTTCATGCAAGAGAATTTTGCTGCAATACAATGGTTAATATACTAACCCAGGGGTCTCCAACCTTTTTAACCACAAGATCACTGTTTCAATTTAAGCGCAATGTAAGCTCTACCTCAAACCCAAATACCCTTGTCCCACTTCCTTCCTGCCCCTTCTTTGAGGCCCAGCCCCTGTTCTACCCCATCTTGGAGGCTTCACCCCGCTTACTCCATCCCCCCACCTACTCCATCCTCACTCACTTTCACTAGATTGCATAGAGGGTTGGGATACAGGCTCTGGTCTTGGGCCAAGGGATTTGGAGTGTGGGAGGGGCTCTGGGCTTAGCCTAGGGTAGCGGCTTGGCATCCAGGAGGGGTTTCAGGGTGCTCCTTTGAAAAAGAGCATCTAGGCTACAACCAGTACTTTCGAAAAAGCAAGCTGCTTTTTCAAAAGAGCACCCAGGCAGTCTGGATGCTCTTTCAAAACAGCACAGTTTGGACTACATAGTGCCTTTTTTCAAAAGAGCACTTTCAAAAAAAAGGCGTTATTCCTTGTAAAATGAGATTTTCCACGGTCAAATAAACTGCCGTGTTCTTTCAATTTACTTTCAAAAAAACATGGCAGCCGTCTAGATGCAGAGGACTTTTGAAAAAAGGCCACTTTTTTCGAAAAAACCGCTGCAGGTGAAGACAGCCTGTGGAGACCCCCTGTTCTGACTTTCGCAGGGGCTGCGGGGATGTGCCAACCACGTCCGGGAGCAGCAGTTACCATGGGGATAACTACTGTAGCTACGCCAGGTTCAGCATTTTAAAACTCATGGCTCAAAGAATAAAATTTAAGCATAAGAGAGAAATGAAAATGATGAAATGCTCAGATTAGTCAAAAACCAAAAATAACCCATTTTGCAAGCAGTAAAATAAATAACAACAACCTCCCATATATATGTTGGGTGGGGAGATGTGAGTGAAGAAATGTGTGTTTATGAGAATGACAGAGACACACACAGTGTGTGACAGTGACAGAAATTTGCATTGCCAAGCTCCCTCCTCCCCCTTCTCTCTGAGTGGAGATAGGGTACAGGAGTGGGGAGAGGAGAAACACCCTGACATCAGTGCCCCCCTCTTCTCCCTCCCACACTCTGCACAGCAAGCAGGAGGCTCCTGGGTGGGGAGAGGGTAGGTCCAAGACAGAGGACAGGACCAGAATGACGGTGGATGGAGGGGCAACTGAAGTGCCAGCCCTTGATAGCTTCCTGGCCAAAACAGTCAGCATCACCTGTCAGAGGCTCCAAGATCTACCAGTAGCTCCCAATCTACTGGCTGGGGACCACTGTACTAGAACACATAAGACATTTCACCCATTTCAAAACTACATACAGAGGGAATTTTCATAATTGCCTAGTTTCTAGATTCAAGGAAGTGGTTGTCTTGCTAGAATTTTAGGATGGACTAGCCTGGAAGACAGGCATTTGATTGAGTGACAGCCCTGTATTCATAATGTTCTGGGAAATATGAGTAGCAATATTAAGAGTGTCATAGCTCTGGCCATGGCAGAGGTCTATGCATGAAATCTTTTAACATGGGACAGCAGGTGTGCAGATACCAATCTCACAAAGCTTGACTGGAAGAAGCACTGGAGTCAGAGGTATGTCTACACTTGCCCCCTAGTTCGAACTAGGGAGGCAAATGAAGCATACCGAAGTTGCTAATGAAGCGCGGGATTTAAATATCCCGCGCTTGATTAGCATATTCACGGCCGGTCGCCATTTTAAAAAGCCGGTAGCCCTAAAAAGCCGGTAGCCCGAATTAACTCGCCGCGTGTAGATGCAGTAGTCCAATCCAAAACTCTTCCCTCAAATTAACTTACTCCTCGTGCAATGAGGAGTAACAGTTAATTCGAGGGAAGGGTTTGGGATCGGACTACTGCGTCTACATGCAACGAGTTAATTCGGGCTACCAGCTTTTTAAAATGGCAACTGGCCGCGAATATGCTAATCAAGCTATCCCGTGCTTCATTAGCAACTTTGGTATGCTTCATTTGCCTCCCTAGTTCGAACTAGGGGGTAACTGTAGACATACCCTGGGAGAGCAGGGTGTCTCTGTCCTTCCTGCTGCAGCTTGCAGCCATATCCACCTTCACAATCACAGAAAACAGACATGTCCCCAAATATACCTGTTCCAACATCGGGATTTTGGGAAGTCTGGACTGTATTTTGTGTGGAACCCCACCTCAGAACTGTTTGCTAAGGACGACTCTACCAGGAGTACAAGACTCCAGATAACATAATTCTTACAATTATTGGGATACACAAGCCTCTTCGCCACAACAATGTAACAGTCCAAGCTGAGGACAGCTTTGGTATGGGGCTGGAATAAGAGAGATTTAAATGAGGTAGTCTTTGCAGATAATAGAAATAAGAAACATATGATCTACCTGAATGGACACAAATCCAGATTCTTAGAGAACACTTTAAAATATATACCCCAAGGGCTGGTCTATATTACGAGCTTAGGTCCACATATTCAGCACTGGGTTGAATTTGTAATGAGTGGGTTTACACTGCTGAGTCCCTTCCATCTACCTAAAGGGTTTTAAAAATTGTCTCTTGTAGTCCACCTGAACGAGTGGAGGAAAGCCAGACATTCATGTCTCTAATTCAGGGCAGTGTAAACACAATTATAAGAGAGAGTTACTCACCCTGTGCCGTAACGTCTGTTCTTCAAGATGTGTGTCCCCGAGGGTGCTCCACTCGAGGTGCTGGGTCCGTCCCAGCGCCGCAAAATGGAGAAACTTCCATAGCAGTAGCCCTGCCGGCCCGCGCATGCGCTCCTGTTGCCTCGCGCCGTTACAGCTGAGCGCGGGCTGGCTCGTCAGTTTCCTCCCAACCGGAAGCATCTGAAAGAGATAAACAGAAGCTCCGAAGCAGGGAGAAGGGTGGGTCGTGGAGCACCCACGGGGACACACATCTCGAAGAACAGACGTTACTGCACAGGGTGAGTAACTCTCTCTTCTTCGTCGAGTAGTGTCCCCGAGGGTGCTCCACTTGTGGTGAGTACACAGCAGTGGTCCAATGCTAATATTAACTTGTGCTGCGCTTTGGTCGGCACCGAGGACTTGAGGGGAAACAACGGTGCCGACTGCAACATACTGGCAGGCAACAAAGCAGCCTCCATAGTCTGGTTGTTGATTGGCTGGAGGCTCGGTGTCGCTGGAATAGCTGGCTGCAGGACAAGTGGAGGCAATGTCAGTGCCGAGAGCTGCACAGGAACGGTGCCCTCCTGCGGCGCCAACTCTGGTGCCGGTGCCTCCGGCATCGGGGAGAGCGAAGCATTAGAAGAAGACGATGCCAGCACCGCTGTTGTGGGTGCCGGCACAGCTGTGCTCATCCGCACATGTGCAGGAAATGCTGGTGCCGGGGTGGCCATTGCCGGCTTCAGAACGGCCTTTGGAGACGTTGCTGGCACCGACTCTGCCCGTGAGCCTTTTGCGGGTGCCAGGGTAGAGTCCTTGCAGCGGGCTACGGTTGGGGCCGAGGAACTATGGCCCTTGCCTGACTTCTCCACGGGATTCTGGTCTGTCTCCGCTGCTCAGCCTGACCGCCGTCTTCGGAGCCCTGTGGGGAGTCTCTTGTGTGGGGTGATCCTTATGCATTCCAGTGGTGAGTGACTCGGGCATCTCCAGTGTCTGAAGCGCTTTGTTAAATAAGAGGACCCTCAATCTTAGCTCCCAGTCTCACCTGGCACGCGCCATCAGCTTACCACATTGGCTGCACTTTACCGGGACATGTCCGTCCCCAAGACACTTAACGCACTGGGAGTGCCCATCCGATGCCGGCATGGCATCCTGGCACTGGGTACACTTTTTAAAACTAGGTGATCCTGGCATAGTCCTTAATTTCGGTGAGAGGCAACTTGACAACACAGGGGAAAAAAAGGCTTTTTTTTTTTTCCCCCCTCCAAACTGAACAGGACTACAACTAGAGAAAACAACTACATTAACACTAATAACTATAAGAAAAAATGAGAACAATTTCCCTTTCTCCTCAGACAGGACGGGGAGCGTAACCGAACTCCATCTGCGGCCGCAGACGGTTGGAAGGAAATTGACAAGACTGGACCACGCTCAGCTGAGTGGCTCGAGGCAGCAGTCGCACGTGCGCGGTCTGGTGGGGTCTACTGCTAGTGAAAATCCTCCGGTTTGCGGTGCCGGGACGAGCCCAGCACCTCAAGTGGAGCACCCTCGTGGTAACTACTTGACTAAGAATACAGGACATTTCAGGTGTCCGGTATTTTCTGAATTTTTTTTTTTTTACCAGACAGGAGGCGAAAATACTGGACTGTCCAGGTCAATACCGGACTCCTGGCAATCCTATCCCCAACTGTTCTTTCCCAGGGTGCCTCCACACTACAGCTTCAGGGAACCATTTCCTTAATTTCTTTCAGCAGATCAGTACAAAAAAAGATCTTTTCCAAAACATTTTGAGTTACCTTGTAATTAAATTTACAATAGTGACATTTTGAACCAACAATTTATATTCTGTGCAATGAGGAAAGTGTTCTGCACTCCATTATATGAATATGTTCAATGGCACATACAACAAGTGAAGCACAGGATATATTATTCTGAACATCAGAAACATCAAGTATACAACTGAAATGGAACTCCCAGAGTCACTCTTTCAGTAAAATGGAGAAGGATTATATCCTTTTGGGGGTGACAGTAACACCTTATCTTCATTTGTTATTTCCCTGTAGTATTACACCAATCTTTTCAGACATATCTTTTTTAAACAGATTTTTTTTTCTTTTCTAACATCTCTTTATAGTAGCAATTTAAAAAAAATTAAATAGTCTTGAGTAAGCAGATTCATCAACATGTGTCAGAATTTCTATTGACATCTGGCACTTGATGTCCTTGACAAAATACCCTGTGCATTTGGCAGTAAAAAGGACATGACAAATAAAACTA